TAGAACTTCACGGATATACCGGTTGCTGTTCAGATTGCCCACAATTCGTAGCAATTGAGATCGTCTATGATATGCTATGGCACCCCAGACCATAACTCCGGGTGTTCGTCCACTGTGGCGTTCGATAATGCACTCCGGAAGGTGGCGTTCACCGGCATAGCGTCTGACACGAATGCGGCCATCATGGTACCACAAATTAAAGCGGGATTCGTCAGAAAACACGACATGCTGCCAATCAGCACTCCAGTCTCTATGCTGATTGGCCCATTGTAGCCGCAGGCGGCGATGGTCGTGCGTTAGGGGGATCCTGTATAAAGGAGTCCGTGCGCGCAGTCCACACTGCAGCAGACGTCTACGAATTGATGAAGCACACAATGAAACACCTGTAGCTATTGACCACAGTGCTGCCAATTGTCTAGAGGAAGCTGTACGGTCCGTCCGCGCCATGCGGACCAGGTGTCTATCATCGCGAGCTGACGTCACATTTCGGGGTCCACTCCCGGATTTCCGAGTTGTCCGACACTCGTCCGTCCACTGCTTCCAAACGCACATCACTGTGCTTCTGTTACGCTGCACACGAGAGGCTACTGCACGATACGACAATCCAGCTTCACGAAGGCCGATGATTCTCCCTCGTTCAAACTCTGTAAGTTGTTCAAATCTCGCTCTCTTTCGTCGACGAGGCATAAGTACAGATTGAGTTAACGTTTACCACTAGCAGATAACCACCGATAACCATACACGCCTCGCTACAGCTGTCTATTTATTCGGATCCATCAGCCGTTCAGAGGGCGCTGCTCAGCATATGCATGCGCTACGGATTTGCAATTCTAATCATTTGCATATCATGCGCTACTTTGCATTTCCTGAAAATTTCAGCTCACTCGCGTAAGTCCTTCATGGTGTTGCAATTTTCACAAACGTGAGTGTATATATGTAATTTATTTCTTAATTAATCTCCTTTTTGTGTATTTTTACTGTATAAATATATTTTTGTATGTGGAAAAATTCTGATATTTTAGCATTATGCTGGTTGATTGGCTTGTGAGGGTAATCATTTGCATAAATTTGTGTATATGTATACCCACAAAAATTTTTGCGGTGATATATTCACTTTTTCAAAGTGTGTCATTTTCTCTATTGTGTAATGTATAATGAAGTTTTTGCTAAGACCCTAAAACTTAAATATAATGCTTATAATTAATAGTTAAGGTATTTTTAGCACAAATTCTTCTACAGCTGACTCAAATTTGCTAAAATATTCTGTCCCATTTTTAGTTCAATGAGACTTACCCGTAGCTGAGCAGTAATGTCGTAAAAAACTGGTACATCAACCTGGGTTCAAGTCCTGGTTGACAGGTTGGCTGCACGGGCGTTTTCATGGTTTTCCCTACATGTAATATAGATCTAAACCAGTTTTCTTTAGGAAGTTCTCTATGAAGATATCCCTGCTTTAGGCAGATAGCCCTTGTGTGTTAGCCATAACGAGCCAAACCAAATCAAATATCAATTGAATGAAGTCTGGAATTTTTTTTTTTTTTTTTCCATTAGGAAGCAGAATTAACTGTTAGCCAAACATTTAGCGTCTAAATTATAGAGAGATCTTATTCTTTAGAAGAATTCTAATGCAAGAGTAAATATGTAAAAGAGTTAAATGGTTTCAATCGTTATGAAAACAGTATGTTTGTTATTTAAATTTTTTTTTTTTTGTTGTTGTTATTACTTTTACATATTTCAAATCTTATAAAATAACTGTAGTAATTTTTCCCAAATGACATTAAAAAACAAAATAAATGAGTTTTTAATCCAAAGGGGCTTTGTCCTCAAAAGACTATTGTTTTCCTTTTGCGATGAATGGCTATACATGTTCGTTTCACTTTTCAAACTGTTGCCACGAAATGTTAGAGTCCTGCGTCATATTTAAAGAAATTAAATAATGAAAAATCTGCATCAATAGATGTATATTTCTCTCATTGTGATAAAACAACGGTACATAGAGCCATCGAATTTTGAATGGCATAATCCTCCTACGAATATGGCCATGTGGAAGACAAATTTGAAATTTTTTTTATTAGCGATTTCATATTTTGTAAAACTTTAACGAATTTTTGAGTAACAAACTCAATGATTTAAAAGCGAGCCATGGAAACACTCTACGGGGTGGGGGACCTTTTTATCTCAAGCGCGCGGAACTGTGTATCGAAAATTCTAAAGCTAGGCTCATTTTAAAATTATTTTTCAACATTGCTATTGAACTGAATTTCATGGTTTCAGTGCAAAGAACACGATATTTAATAAATAAATGTAACACACAAAATGTTAAAAAAAACTCCCCTTTGGATGTAATTTAAAATCTGAAACCTTTCAGATTTTTTTCATGTACTTTTTTATATATTTTATTTATTTATTTATTTATTTCCTAACTGATGAAATAAATTTATACTTATTACAAATTTATCTTCTAAATCTGCTTTCAGGCATTTGGTGAGAAACTCAGAGTAAATATTTCCAAAAGCTCATGTCAAAAAACTGTTATGTTCATAACTCAATAAAATGTAAATAAATAAGCTGCCATAACTTAACGATACGCACAGATAAACTGCTTAAAATTGTGTAAGTTAACAAACATGCCTGAAAGCATTCCATTAAGTGCTGAAATAAAATACACAGTACTATAAAGAATTAAATATTTTTCTCTTCATTTATTATCATGTAATTATTGGTAAATATGTTTATTTTCTTATATTTATTATTTATTTTTTTAAATTCTCTGAGAAATATTTTTTAAATCTGCATCATGAAAACATAAAAAATTTTCATTTTCAAATACAGTCAAAAGTCGTTATTGACACCCCAATCCGGACCTCAAGCTAAAAACTTTCGCTCATGTGCCGCGTTGACACATCGCATAGGCGTTTACGCGTGCCTCATAAGACTTTACGACTGCGCATATGCGTTGCACAAGCGCAGAATACTTTTTTTTTGCGTGCGCGTTTAATATAACGGATGGTATAAGCTAAATTTCTATTATCTATTTCAGTTAATGTTGATGATTGCTTGTTGCTTAATCTCAAATTGGATCCGGCTTATATTTTTTGCATACTGTAGAGAAATTTATAAAAGTAAGCTTGAACTTTCGATTATGTCATATTAGAATTTCCGATGCTGGAGCTCCCAAAGGATCTACAAAATGAAAGTATGTTTCCAGTCCGTCAAACAAAAAGTGGATTTGCTGTAAAAAATGAAAGACTGAAGAGGTACAGAGAGGTTAGTGAAAACGAAAAAATTCGATGACAAGTTAGTTTTGGTATTCTCGCACAGCAATTACGGGACTTGAACAGTGGAATTTTGTAACTGAACAGGAAATTAATGTCTGTTTATAGAAAAAGAGAAAGTATTATCACATAAAACGAAGCAACTTAAACAACTTCCATTGAAGAAATGTTTAATAAAGTAAAACACATAAATAAAGCTTTTTTTTTTTTTTTTGTGTGGTGTGTGTGGTAAATTTGATACCCTTTAGATGGTAAATTGTCTTTATTTAATAAATTACGGTTTCATATTTTTAATTTTAGAATTTCTGCATGCATCTACGAGATTAAACTGATGATCTATAATCCGGAATTGCCGAAGTCCCAACGAGTCCGGATTAACGACTTTTGACTGTATTTTAAAATTAAATAATTTTTTTCAAATATGTAGTATACAAGAGTGACACAAAAAAAAAAGATATTGTGTAGCTTAAAAAAAGCGTGGAGTTGGCAACAACTGTTCGGTGACATCATCCCCCATACCTCCTCTATCCATGCGGCCAGTTTCGACTTAACCAATCACACCAGTTGGGAGTACTGCATCATTGAGTGAACATGTGCAACTGCATTCTGCCAAAAAAAAAAATGTCTAATGTAAAAAGCAAACAACAAATCAACGTCAAGTTTCTCGTGAAACTTAAGAAATCAGCCACAGAAACATTTGAAATGTTAACTGAGGCTTATGGAGATGAAACTTTGTCTCATGCCCTAGTATTTGAATGGCATAAGTGTTTTTCAAGGGAAAGGGACAAAATACCCATGTCAAAATCAAAATTCAAGACAATGGTAATTGTCTTCTTCGACATTAATAGAGTTGTAATGATTGAGTGGGTTCCCAGTGGTCAGACTGTTAATCAACACTACTACATTAAAGTACTAAAAAGACTTCATAAAAGAATTAGGGAAAAAAGGCCACAGTTGTGGAGTAATGGATGGCTGTTGCACGAGGACAATGCAGCCACTCACATGGCTCTATCTGTCAAGCAGTTTCTGACCAGCAAAAGAAAATTACTGTGATGGTGCATCCTCCTTATTCACTTGATTTGGCACCATGTGACTTTTTATTTCCTGAAGTTAAATCTTGCTTAAGGGAAGTCATTTTACCCCAGTTGATGAGGTTCAGGCAGAAATGGAGAATCTCCTGAAGGGCCTTTCAAAAACCTAGTTCTAGAACTGTTACCAGCAATGATGCACCAAATGCAGAACTGTGTGAATGCTGAATGGGACTACCTTGAAGGTAATAATATCACGGAGAGCTGATTCTGTAAGTACAATGATTTATTGGACCAGTCTCATTTTTTTGTGTCACACCTTGTATATTTTAATGTAAACGATATAAAAGTATGTGATTTTATATTTTCTACCACCAAAAATTATGAGGTAATTTAATACTTGTACAACTATTTACAAATAATTTGGGTAAGTGTAAAAAAAATATTAGCACACTTCTCTGGATGATTGTGAATGAATTTTATTAGAAGAGGCTCCAAAATAAAAGTAACTTAAGTGTCTAGTAAAGGAAAAAATAACTGCCCCTTTGTATTTGCATGTAGGCATATTAAAAATGCCGTACTGTTATGTATTGTATTAAAATCATATCTATAGTCATAAGTTTATTTATTATGTTTTGAAATATATAAAAAGTTAAATTTAGTTACTCAGTTTTTGTTTCATCATACTATAATATAGGTTACTGAAGCTACAAAATGTATGGTAGAAAGAAAGAATGTTGGAAAAATCATTTTGGTGCCTAAAAAGGAAGAAGTTTCTGAGCAAGTTGAATTGTACCAAAATTAATTTCAGATTTTTAAGAGAATTTTATTTTTACAATATATATATATATTTTTAAATACTGTATATTGTCATGTTTATTATTTACTTATCAAATCATACATGTTGTAGGGCCCACCAGCGGCCGAGCGGTAAAGTCGCTGAACACTGGTAGTTTGGTCAGAGGTTCGAATCCCGCAAACGGGCTGGCTGCATGGGTGTTTTCGTGGTTTTCCATGTGTAACGTGTATACGAGCCAGTTTCCCTTAGAAAGTCCTCTACGAAGGCATGCCTCCCCTTAGGCAGATAGCTCTAGTGTGCTTTGCCATAATTAAATACACCATACATGTTGTAATTTTAAGAGATTTCCGTGTATGTTCTCATTTGCAAACACTAATACATACATTTCCATTATTGAATTCATCTGTATTACACATTCATAAATCAACCATCTAGAATGTCATTCTGTAATTACCAAGCAATTATTTTGAATTTTCCTGTTTTCCATTTAAATTTTTTTTTTTTAAATTGGGAATGTTAAAAATTTTAATTTGGAACAATTTTTTTTAAACAAATTATTTAAAAATCTAAATTTTTCTTTCTAAAAAGCTTGACAGGTGAATGCTTATTTTAAAACTGAGTTAATTTTCTGACGTTTGTTTTTGGAACAGTTTATAGTATTTCTTATATCTAAAATTAAATTCCTTGTACCTACTTTGATTTAGTGGTATAATGTTCAATTATATGTGGCTGGTTTTATTCACTTATTGTTTTTTATATGTATGTACACTGCCCCCCCCCAAAAAAAAGAAAGAAAGAAAAGAAAAAAAAAGAGACAGTTCTGTATCTCCCGTTCTACTGAGCGAATAGCCAAAATACAAAATGAGTTTTCCATGTCTTGAAAGCGTGACTTAAGATATATATTAAATTTATATTTAGCATTCTAACATAGGTATTTGGACACAAAATCAGACTTTTTCTGAAATAACACACCATTTTTTTTTCCCCATATTTCAATTCTATGACTCAAATTATGCCAGATTGCAAAGTTTTGTAAAAATTGCCCAGGTAGTTTTTCAAATGTTAGCTCTCAAAATTTTAACTCCTCCATGTTAATTGAATTTGGTATATATTTATTAATATCTCTTTTTTAATAAACTTTTATGATTCTTCCTTTTACATTTCAAAATTTAAGTTCATTTTGAATAAAATTCACTCATTTTTTTATGATTTATGTTTAAAATTTGTATTTTTAAATAACTTTTATAAATTTTTTATATAACTTAAAGAATTTTTACCATCATCTTAAAGTAGATGTATTTCTAAGTATGCCTACAAAAAATTTGAAGATTTTATACAAAATTTTCTAAGATATACGTGAATTTACATATTAGTGCATTTTGAAATTTGGCAAATTTTTATAAGCAATAATAACGTAAAATGTGATTTACGTACTTCATTAAAATTATTTGAAAGTATGAATGATGACTTCCCCCCCCCCCTGCTCCTGCACAATGAAAAAAAGGAAGGGAAAATATTTGCTATAAATTAACAAGTTCACCAAGTGAATTATTCTTGGTGCATCAATGGGCCAAAATATAGTTTTAAAATTTGTCCATAAATTTCTCACCAAAAATTACAAAATTTAATATCTAGGCATAATTTGAGTCGTATAATCAAAACATGGAAAAAAAATTGGTATGTTATTTCAGAAAAAGCCCGATTTTTGTGTAAAAATACCTATGTTAGAACAATGCTATATATAAATCTAATATATATATCCTAAGTTGCGCCTTCAAGACATGAAAAACGCAATTTGAATTTCATCAATCGACCCAGTAGAACGGGAGATATAGAACTGTCTCTTTTTTTGGCGCAGTGTATGTTTTTGCTTTTTATACATAATGCATTTATCAATGTGCCTTTCAGATGATTGCTGTTCTCTGAACTGCTAATTATATTTTAATTACTATAATTTTGGGTAGACATGCTGCCCTGGTGTATACGCTACACACAATAATTGACTGAAAAACAAAATGAAAGTTCATCGGATAAGCCACACCGCCATAGACGCCGCAGCAAAGCATTCTGAAACATGGCACTTAATATTCATTTATTCAGTAATTCCCTACCATATTCCCTGCCAATCATCATCAATAACATTTTATAACATTTTCAATTGAATATAATCTTTACAATATAAATATAATCAGTAATATATAAATAAATTAGGAAAAAATATCTTACCTTCAACTTGCTGAAAACAAACTTTGATGATTTCTAATAGAAATTACTTTGATGGGTTTGGTAAACTTCATTTATCACCATAAATTGCCATATTATGAAAAAGAATATGTAAACTAGATAAAAAAAAAACAGAACTTTTTAATTCAATTAAGCTACATTTGTTTATAGAAAACCTTCAAAAACCGATTCGTCAATGTCAGAATTAAATAAATTTAGCAAATATCCATCAAGGTCAGTTTTATCATTCTGTTCTAAATCACTTCATCGCTATCTTCACTTTCATTTTCTTTTCCGATGATTTCCTATTTAATGAATATGAGTAATATATAAATAAATTATTAATTAATTTTGTTCTTAATGAAAGCTGCTAGGATCGTATGAGCTAGAACTGATTGCCATCCTTTATCGACCCATAAGGCAGCCTCCTAATATGAAGCTTTTCTCATTCGTCTGGAATTTGTGAAGGAAGGGAGTCCTCTTTGCATCCATTCCTCCCACTGCTTTCATGTTTGAAAATTATATTGATAGTGAAATCCAGCGGCTGTAAAATTTTTGTAAGCCCACCTGGTACCACTGAGACATCTGTTCCGAGTTTTTCTGCTTTAGGATTGCATTGGATATATTGCTAAATAGGATTGCATTGATGCATTGAATCCAGAATGATGAGTCCTCAGAGTTGGAAAAAAGCATTTTTCCTTTTTCAATAAATTTCTCTCGTCCCAAACCACATCACTTTTTTTCACAACCATCCTGTTTCGTTGCCACAAATAATAACTCCTTTTGGATTGTTTTTCTTTTGAAAATTATCAAAGGGGTTAATTCCTCTTCACCAGTGGCACAACCCAAAACATTAGTAAAAGAAGTCTTTTCTTTCCCGCTTGTTAACACTAAAGTAGTTTTTTCACCTATCATGAACAGTTCTGCTCAGAGGACAATCAAAAGTAACGGGCTTTTATCTATATTAATTGTTTGCCATCTTTTTCAAATTTTGTTCTTTAATTTTCTTGGATGTGTACTTCAAAAAAGCTATCTTTTTCAAGCCAGTCCACGGGAAGCTTTTGTCCAACTGTTGTTTTGGTCCTGACAGATAATTTCTTTTGCTTAAAACACCATTTAGGTGCTCTAACAAAATTTTTAATGCCCATTTGTCAAGCAATTACTTTTGCTTGAAGGTTAATTCTAACTGTTGATACTGATAATCCAATTTCTTTCTGCTCTGTTGTCTGTTTCTCCAAAGTATCTTCCAAAACAGGCAAGGCTATGACACCAGTTTGGCGAGATCTTTAATTCTTAGGCATTTTCTCTAATTCTTCTTGTTTGGACTTCCACCACCAAATGCATCGCTCATCAACTTGAAATTCTTAGGTGCAGAGCAATTTCTAATTTTGATCGCTTTCTTCACTGCCAAAAGCTTAAAAGCAGATGCATAACTTTTTCTTCAAGTAGGAGCCATAATAATAGTAATATTTTTAATGTGTGAATGATAAAGTAAATAAAAAGCAAACTAAAAAAGTGTAAGAATGAACACATCACTTGGCAAGTAAACATAGCTGTTTTTGTTTAAAAAAAAAAAAATCATAAGAAAACGTGGGCAAAACCTTAGCAGAGAGTGCATGCATTACGGTGTCTTTACACAGAGCGCCCGCCTACCTTTGTTCACCGAGTTTAAACTTATTGCACCACCTTAGGTTAAAATATTACAACGAATTCTAACTTAACCATTTCGCTTGTGCCTAACTTACGATCTGAACTAACGAAGTTTTAAGGACAGAGGGAAAATGAAATTCCTTTCGATATGCGACAGACCTAAATTTTCAGCTTCTAAACACGTATAAGCCACGGCTTATCTACCTGAAATTGTGGTGAATTGATAATGTATTACTGACTTTTGTTTCATATAATTAGCATCATAGGCATTATATGTCTTGAAATACACTTTTCAAATTGTTGCCATAAAAATGTTACTAACATGTATTACAGGAATTAAATCATGAAGAATCTATATATTCCTCAAACTGTGAAAAAAAAAACAATAGCTCTTAGAGCAAACAAATTGTGAATACCGAACTGCACTTGAATATGTGCACTTGAAAGCCCAAGTTTTTAATTTTGAATTTGTTTTTTCATTTATTTCATATTTTATAGAAACTTAATGAGTTTTTTATCACCAATTCAGCAATTTGAAATTAAGCAGTGGTAACACTCTTCAAAATAAAATATTGGTATATCTAGCATGCAAGACTATTTGCATTCAGAAATATGTAAAATATCTATCTTTCAATTTTAATTTACTAAGGAGGTAGGTTAGAATAAATGGAGTAAGCCTCCTCTGTATATCTGGTGCCTGTGTTTTAAATGATACCATGGGATGTCATGGTTTGACACAACAATTTATCATGACTGCTGCCTAAGCAGACTTCTGGTTGGTTTCGTTTACATTCTAATCAGTACTGTCTACTTGTTAGCTATACATCATTAAGCATTGTCAGTGTACCGTTTTAATTTTAATATTGAACATAATTGGCATTCTATTTAGAATATAGAAAAATGACAAGGACTGCAAATGACCATTTCAAACTTAATAAAATTTAGGCACATGAAAATGTGCAAATAGTAACTAAAGACAAATATATACATGTAACACCTGAAAGTTCCAATGGTATTTTATACAAATTATCCCTAAAGACACTTTTCTGAGCCTGCAGATGTTGATATTTGCTCTCAAAATGCCTACTCCATCTATTCTAACCTCCTTGCAATTAAAAACTCAACTATTTTGAAAGCAATGTTTTTGGAAGATTTTCGAGTAACAAACTAAGTAATTTAAAAGCAATAAACACAGTTCTTTGGAATATTTTTTCTACTTTTTAATATGATTGATTTAAATAAAAA